GAGCAAGTGGGTAAGGCTGGTCGTTGATGATATTTACTGGATCGGAGGTTTTGGAGACCGCGCATACATTGGCTGGATTCCCAAGGAGGAGTGGTTCAGCGTTACTCCGGAGGAGATTGATGGCATCCAGTTGCCTGGTGAGAAGAGCAGTGCCTGGGGTACCTTGGGCAGTTGGTTTGGTCTTGGTCAGCAAGAGCAGGGTTTGTTCGAGCTATAGGTCTGTTCATGAATCACGACTAAGTCATGCGTCGGGATGAGAATTTGGTGGGAATCAAGGGCTCCGCTTTTGATTCCCTCACATGACGTTGTTTACAGGCTCGATGGTACACGATTTGACTGTTACCCGGAATGTCATTCTGCATTCATTTTCCTAAGTCTTCCATATATATTGATTGATTGCTCCTGTTCCTATCAACTACTCAGCGCCACTAGACTCACCCACGACATCTTCATACCATATCGTCACCAGGCTCTCTGTTGGAAATCGCTTCATTATAGATATGCATAACACTCATTACATAACATCACCACACGTACTTTAGTAAAAGTGAATACTTTTTTTTCGCAACATTGACGCGTATCCTGTCTTTCTCTCATGACTCCTCACCGTTGTCTAAGATTGTCCTACAAATTAGATATCAGCTCTTCACGCACTATCAAGTGCTCTTCACTACATCTCCACTTCTACACATCAGTCCTCATGCCTAGGCCCATGAAAAAAAGTGGAGTATCCCTTATCCCACACGAGTAGCACACCAATCTATTTCAGTCAAAATGAAGAAGAGAAGAAAATGATCAAAATCCGCCATATCCACTCCCTCCTCTCTCTCCTCCCCCACTAGCTCATCTCTCTTCTTCTCTGCTACAGCACTTCTCTTAATCAGTCTCACCTGCACAGAAGAACCCACTTCATCACTTTGCACAAAGCTCCATCTCACCCTCCCTCTCGTGTTCGTTCCGTCCACAAATATCCACCCCATCCTCCACACATGCCCTCTACTCCCTCCCCTTCCCCCCTAAGTCACCTCTACCACACTGCCCAGCATAACAGCACGATAATCCCACACTACACTATCAGAAAGAAACCTCTAATCATACAATTTCCCAGTTTACCCAGTGAACTTCACCATCTGCAACTTTTCAACACTAATCTCCAACGCGCTTGCCTCATCCAGATGAAGACCAAAAAAAAACCCCCACAGAGAACCGGCAATAGATAGGAAGGATTTTTTTTTTACTTCTCTTTCTTTTTCCCAAACACAGAACAAGACTCTGTCACATTTAACATTTTTTTTTCGCCGCTTGAGTCTATTCTGCCTCCCCCTTCACATAATATCATTCATAGTCGGAACTGATGCTGTGGAAGTTACATGTATTCCTCTATTCTACTAGATTATTTTTAACTACATATTATTGGCGGACTTTGCATGGAAGACTGGGAAATTTTTTTTGGTGATGCAAAAGAATGGAGTGGTACAAAGCGTAATCTGTTATCCTGATTGTGAGATATCTTTTTTTGGGGGTTGGGGGGTTGATACACGATTCTGGCAGGTTGAGGGGGATATGGTCTGTTTTTTCTTTTCTTTTCCGAGAAAATAATTATGTGATATGGCGTAGTTTGGTCAGATACAAATGACTAAGGTCAGATTTATAGAACAGAGAATTAATTGTAGAGGAACTGGATGTGTTTGTTTCTCTTACGTTTGTTGCACGGGTATAGATGGTCTGTTTTTTTTTCAGGTGAGAGAAGTGTGCACAGCGAGAGGCATGACGAGAAGGGAGAGAAAGGTGAGAGGTTTAATTTGCACAACAGTTTCGAGCATAATACGGTGAGAGGTTGCTGGAACTGTGACAGAAAGTGTAAGGTAGATAGTGATTCCTTACAGATCACTTTCTCATGTATATTTCCTTCACTTGACAGACTTTTTTTTGCCTTTAGACTTCTTCTCTGCTCCAAAGACGCTCTGTACATTATGTCTCTGCAGATCTTGATATGCAAGATTCATTTTCTCCTTCACATGGCGTACGTACTTCATCTCCCCCTAACGCACATACTCACCGCCAGTCTTCGTTTTCCACGCGGCTAACACGAAGCGTGAAAAAAAATGCAAGCCGTAAATTTCCATACCGTGCATTCACATTGAGGAACAATCTCACGTATGAAGCTTTTACCCGGCCTTACGTGACCTTCCCCTCATCTAGAACAAACATCGGAAAGGAAGATAGAGATGTGCACCGCCTCATCTACAATACGAGCCGGGTAAGCCAGGAGCACGAGCAAGCCAAGCATCACTCTTGCAACGGCATCTAGAACCGGCAGTGAAAGTCTGACAAAGCCTGATCGTCCCTCGTCTGACCGGACTTCCAAAACCTACCTCTGTCATCCATCTTCATCTCAATCGGATCGAGACCCGTCCCAAAACAGAAAACGATATCCCCACCATCTCTTTTTTCAACCCTAAATTCTGACCAAAAGCAATCAAAAACGGGCACATGGCATTTTCCGAACAAGAGGCAAAGCAAGGATCCCCTCTCTTTTGAATTCGGGCAGACAAGAAAGAAAGACAGAAAGAGAGAGAGAGAGAGAGAAGGAAAAAAAAGAGGCAAGTATGGCAAATTCCACATGTCATCAATCTCGTCTTTTTTTAAAGCATCCAAACCCAACCCAACACCCCGCCCATGTAAGATGGCAGCCGGAACGCGCCTACCAGATCGCGGCTCCCTATGCCCACTGCTTAAGCCATCGCATACGCGCATAAGCGCGCTCTCACGCCCCCCCAAGAAAAGGGCCAAAAAAAGTTGTTGTGTCACCTAATTCGGCACATCTCCACCCACATTTTCCCTCTCAATTCACAGGCCCCCCTAAAAGGGCAAAAAGGATAGTAAATCATAACCAGAGAAACGAAAACGCCCGACCGACGTTGTAGTGTACCCGCGGATACGCCGGAACAAAAGCAGAAAGACATGTGTCTAAGCTTTGCTCTTCTGCTAGGTGTACTTGTCTAGCAAAAAAAGAGGTCCCTGCTGCTGCTGCCGCCGCCGCCGCCTATCTTACTTTAACCCATGGCCTAGCCATGTCTCTAATCTCTCTCTCTCTCCCAAAGAAAAAAAACACACGTGTGATGAACCTTGATGGTGCGCGTTCCACCGGGCGGCTTGAGAGCTACTGCGCGTAGGTAACTAATGCGTGTCGCGGGGCGGCGGCGTATCCGCTGGGAGGAGGGGGGGTGGGATACGAGACTAGGTAAGGGTGCGGTTACGAAGTTGGGTATGGGGTGAGAAAGGCCAAGCTGGCATGGTACACTACTACTCTGCTCTACTCTAATTAGAAGAGTAGAGTACGAAGAAGGAAAGAGGGAGGGCAAAAAGATGCCGAGAGAGGACGGTGGTGGTGGTCGGACCTCCCTGCCCAGCTGACTGTATGCGAAGATGGGACTGGTTTACACTACCCCAGTCCCCTACCCATCCGTCGTCCAACACGTCCCCCCTACTCCCGCATCGTATTCAACAGATGGAAAGTAGGATTGTGGCATTTTCTTGTTTGAGCCTTGGGCTGAGGAGCACGGCGGTCTCGACGCTGGGTGGTTTACCTGCTCTCTCGAGTCAGGTAGCCTATTTCCGCCTCTGTTTTTTTTGAGGTTCCCTTACGGACGTAACGGGGTCGTATATGAGTAAAATGGGGGTTGAGGGAAAATGGATACCGTTATTTCCTTTTTCTTGGGTTCTTCCTTCCCTCGGTAATTAGATGGTAGTAGATGCCTAGCAATGAGGCATCCAGCTACTCCTCGTTTTCTTGAGATTTAACTTAGGGTACAAAATTTGGCTGCTTAGGGCGGAAAGAGTGGGACGTGCGAAAGTTGCATGCGTTGGGTTTGTAAGTGATGACTTCGAGACGGGGGGGAGGGGGGAGAGGGGATTACTAGGTGGGCTTGCTAACTAGTAGGGAGCGCGCCAATCAGATGCAGGGTGTGTGAGTATAGGAAAGGATTGCGAGGGACGAGGCGAAAATGGGTACCCCACGTATCTTTGCGCTAGCAAAAAAACGCCGAGGTTGTTTTTTATGGTCGTGTTTGGAAAGCCTGGCGCTGCGACGACCACGTACCATGGCCTTTCTTGAACCCAGTGGTCAGGCATTGCTTAACAAGGCATGAAACTGATTCTATCATTCTTTTCTGACATTGTTCCAGCAGCTGCCCATACTTGGATATCGCACGCTGGGTGGTACCCAGTACCTCGAATAGCGGTGACGGCCGTCACGTTTTGTTTGACGAGGGAATGAGACGTGGTACTAGTTGCAACACCTTGGCTCTGATCACAGCGGAGACAGCCACGAGGATGGGGAGGCGGGAGCCAGGGACTTCCCAGTACCAGCTGTAGGAAGCATCCTTCCAGGCCACGCTTCATGAAATCCTTCGGCCGTAACATGGTACTTTCCAGGGCGAAGACGCTTGACGTCGCAACCCAAGAACGAGATGAGGGGGAACGGCGTGGCACTCCGTCATCTGATCATCACCCGTCCGTCAACAGGCATGATGCTGGAAGAAGTTTTATACGCGAGGGATGCTTGGGAAAGGAACCTGAGACGAAACAGAGTTGCGCGATATGCGCGATGCTAGTTCCCGCAGAATAGCCCAAACTTTATCGCTCAACTTCTGCCTTGTGTTATTTTGTTTGGTAGCGAGTATCTTAGTGAGGCGATCAACAATCGGACAAGCCCACACCTTTCCGAGAACTTTTTTTAAATTCTTCCGCAAAGCATTGTTCATCCGCCAAGGGGAGGGGGACGAGAGACAAGTCGCGCGCGATGCAAAATGTCCGGCATGGCGCAATGGCGATTTGGTGCCAGCAGGTAGTCCCACGAGTCGGCCCTTAGGCGTGCGTCTCCATAGTATGTATGTATGCTGACTCAAAGGGACTTCTCTCCGGAAAGTGAGAGATGGTTAGTTTTAGGGTTGCGGATGTGCAGGGACAGGGCCTGGGGGAAGGGTGCTTTGGGCAAGCTAGGATGATCCCATCTGCCATCTGCAGCACGGCCTTGACGTCGATTCCGCATGGAGCCCTAGTGTCGGAGTATTTGCTCGCCTGGCGCTAGAATGCGGTTCATATGCATCGTGGTGCGAACGGACAAAGGGTAGGCATGAGCGTTCGTGCGGCGGTAAGAGGGCGATCACAGCTGTCACGCTGGCGTGAGTGGGATGCTGGCGCTTGGGACATGCTGGTAACGCAGTGGAATGCTCCGACATTGACGTGTCGCCTCGAGTGTCAAAATGGTGAATGTTAATGACCGAGGTTGCTGGTGCTATTGGGCGGGGTGGGTTTTTTTTGCTCGACCACAGTGCAGCATGATACTCACCGCTCTTGCAGCCAGTGCGAATGCGAACCTCCCATCTCCACAATACACCCGCAATGGATTGGGATCCATGTCCGGTAGCTGTGAGTGTGTAGCAATTCAGAATGCATGGCCGTCGATCGCGGTTCTGGTCAACCCTATGGTCCCTTGTTCCATGCCCATTGGAACTGCTCGTCCGTATAACGCGTGTCAGCGGGCGAGTGCCTGAGCTGGGCGCGCGGCCATGGGACACGCGGCTAACGGCTGCCATGAGTGGGTGGTCGAGGCAAGCAAAGGGCCAACGGTCGCACGTCGGTATGGGCGGATTCCTTCTCGAAGGTTGGCATCCAGGGATCAAGGCTGGAGCTCGTCAACGATACCTTGTACATACGTGTATCCATTATGCACGTAGTAGTAGACAATGGCCGCGTGCACCGCCGCGTCGGCCGCACGTGTGCTTGCAAAGTGGCCCAGCCACAGCCAAAATCCTAGGACTACAAATGGACCAAAAAGATAGTGTAGTACGAGGAAATGGCGCACATGGAAAAATAAGAGGTGCCGGCCTTGGCTGTGCTAACGCAAGGCTGACAGATTTGGCGCTGGCGCTGGGCTGGTGGCAGCCCACGGAAACTAGGTGATCATGGCGCAGGTGATGTTATTTCGAGCGCATCATCGTCTTCCGCTAGGGACAATCACGGGTCCGTTCCGACGTGCCAGCCAAAAAAAAAGGGTGCAATTGCTGGCCGTGTTGGCGACCTATAACACGCGCCAAGTGGCTGGCATCTTACCAGGGGGCTGGTTGGCCTCTCCCACCCACGCCGCCAGTCCCCAATACTTGAATGCAGCCCTCGTGACGGCAACATGGTACGATACCTCTTTTTACACTGCCGTTTCTGTGTAAGCATCGTTGCCTTGGTCGCCGAAGAAGCCGTGGACGCACAGTGACGGCATACATCCAAAGCCATGTCCGCCGTCCCTTTGCCCCCCCCTCCCTTCTTGCCCATGACACGCACAGCTGCAGCAGACCATCGGAACCGGGCATGCGATACACGATGGCAAATGAAAGAGTATAGATAAGTAACAAACAAGTAGCGCGAGGCTGTCCGTGTGTGGTGACGACCTTTTGCACGTCAGCCGCTCAAAGCAAGCGAGGCCGGGAAATTGGCAAAGGGGGCAGCAGGAAAGGGAAAACCAGACAGGTGAAACACATTCCACGAGACTGGGAATGGGCCCAGAGCCGCCCCCTCCTCCGAACAGATGATGCGCAGATCTCTCTCCAAGCACGATCCACGGGCTTGAACGGATGCACTGATCCACCCCTCTCACCAGCAAACCCGATTGGCACACTGCCGTGCCTCTTCGACGACGTGGCGCACTTCTGTTCAATCTACCTCCCGCGATTGCTTTTGGTGCCCGTCCTCCAAGCGGCTGGCCTCGCTTAGGTCAATCACATACGTACTCATACTGTAGTCTGTATGTACGTTACATGCATGCGCGAAATCGCATGTCGCCTGACAAGTCGCAGACTTGCTCCGTGTGTCCCTCCGGCCCCCAAGTGTGTGTGTGTATGTGGCATTCCACCATCGTTTCTTTTTCGTCCCCGCCGGTTTGTGGGGGGGGGGGGGGAGGGGAAAGGGGGCAGACAGAGAAAGTTTGAAAGGGAAAAAAAGGCTATACCAGTTGTTTTTCTGGGCACTGAGTAGTATAGTCAACACGGTATCATGTCCGAATCCAATCTATGGGGTGATTCAAAAAAGGAAAAAAAAAAGATTTCTCGGTTCCGCCGAACGGTTTGGCAGGATGCCCTTGACTTTACTTGTTGCAGTAAGGGTTCCCTTCCCCCATCAGACAATTGTTGTTTTGCGTTTTTCTTTGCTTTTTTTGCCCTTTTGGCTACGACCGCGAGAGAAAGCGTAACCGAGCTTACCTTACTCTAACCTACTACCTGCAAGCTTGTCATCTCGGGCCATGTGGAGGAAAAAGCGCCTCCCGAAGGCTCCCTAAGAGTCAAAGCAGTAGCAATAGCCGCTTGCGCATTGCTATGGGCCAAGCCAGACCTGGGGTTTCAGACTTATTGGATTGCTCCAAATCCGTTATCCAGCAGGACCTGGGGCTCGGATTCTGGTCGGGTGAGCAGCACCGCGCTCGGGGAATTGTTAAGTGATGATCGTCGCTCTAGCTTCATGCCTTTATCGTTTGATTCAGAGTACTTTACATGCTAGATACATTTCAAGTGCAGATGGGGGGGGTGTTGAGGCTCCATGCGAAGCAAGCCACATGCGGCTTTCGTCACATGTGCACTGCGCAAGCAATATCGCCATGAATCACCGGTCGCAGAAAAAAGCGAAGCATTTTCATTTTTGAGGCAAGGCAAGGGGGCGGTCCAATAGTGCACAGGTTTGAACTTTAGTGTTGTTGGTGGTCCTCGTAGGTGTATGGACGGCTGCAGATAACCAGACATCCGAGAGGTGGTGTGAATGACGACATGTGGAAGACAACACATGGAGCTGCAAGTAATGACATGGCCAAGAGGTTAAGCGCTAAGACGACTCATGCGACCTGTACTGCTGACGGCGAAACAAAAGGGCCTCAGGCAGAGAGCAATCAAGTTTAACCCACACAGCTACGTTGCTTAGAGCGCAAGCTAATACCCAGTCTATTGTCCTTACGGTACTGAATGCGAAGAAAGGGGGGGAGGACGTAGCTATCAAACATATGAACGGATCTCTGGGCTCTTTACGTTTACAGTCTCCTTTATTGGGTGTGCCGAAGTCGCTATTGGCATGACCATTGTTGGCCGGTACCCGGACAGCGGTGGGCGGCGGATAAATGAGACCATGAACACCAGCCCTGATCATAACAGGCTGCATTATGCGACTGGGGAGCGTAGCATCACAGAACTGGGGGATGCTCAACTGACCATTTTTTTTTCCTTTCCATCGGCCCTCCCATGCCCAGCTACTCGTTATTACGTTGGTGTATAAGCCGGGGGACGTGCAAATGGACGGGGGACGAAGATCGACCGAGGTGGGTCTCTGGCGAGATATACTTGTATGTGTACGTAGCCAAGGAGCCATTGAAATGACGGAGCCCTCTCGGCGACTGTTTCCTCCAATTCGACGCAGTCATTACGCAAGCTTGGTTCCATGGGTAATCCATTGCGAACAGCAAAGATGTCTGGGTTTGAAGTTGCGAGCTCCCAAGTGTTATGCCCCGACGTCTTCAGTTTCCACTAGGTTTGGAAGCCACGACACGTTCCAGGCACAGCATCGCTCCCCTGCCTGATTAATCTCAATGATAAAAAAAACGTGACGATAAAGCAAGAGCGCGCTTATCAGTCGATCAGTGAAAACAAAATGTCATGAGATGGTAATATATTGATTTGTGCAATTTGACACATGTCATAGCATTTGGCTGCATAAGGCAACGTCTCTACTATAGTACAAAGAAATAAAAGTTATTTATCGGTTAAGAGAAAAAATGATGCCGCGCTCCCTGATGCGAGATAAAAAAAAAAGTCTGTCGTATGAGAAAAACCCAGGAATAAGATGTGGGGAAATAAGCGTACAACATCGCGACTGATGGCGAAGTAGGATATCGTTAACAAACACGAAAACTCCATTGAAATGCATAACATGGTGGGAAACCCCCAGGCGCCGATGCAGAAGTCGTGCAAATGGTATCGTTGGCGAGATATGACAGAACAAAGCGTGTCATAGGAAGAGACTCCGAGTATGTCCAGGCTTGTCAAGGCCGATTGCGTAAGACGATTAGGTGCGGCGGCTTTTGGCCCATCATGCCGTCAGGGTAGTGCTAGAGGCTGCGTGGCAACCTCGCTCATGTCGCTTCATGTTGCTGCGGACGCTAAAGGCCTTGCCGCATCCGGGTTGTGGGCACTTGTACGGCTTCTCGCCGGTGTGGCTATGGCTGTGGATGCGCAAGCTGCTTGGCCGCGAAAAGGCCTTGTTGCAGGTGGAGCAAATGTAGCGGTCCTGTGGTTGTGGGAATTGTGACTGGCTTGAGGTGCTGATGTAATGGTGGTGTTGCCATGGGTTTGAGCCGTTGGCGGCTGGGCTCGGTACAGGTACAGGCAGAGGCATCGCGTGTGGCTGGAAGTTTGAAGGCAGTGGACGCTGCGAGTAGAGCGGTGTGGTGTTGTACGAATGCTGCTCGGGCGAGTAGAATGATGCTGATGACGCGGCTCCTGGCGAGGACTGGTAGGGAGACTGGCCGTACATGGAAGCACTGTAGGGCGACATGGAGTGCGACTGCATTGAGTCGCGCTTCATTGGAGGCACTGTCGAGAAGTTCTGTCGCTGTTGGTGAGGCTCCATGTTGTTGAGCGCACCGCCGACAAAGTAGGCAGTAGAAGCTGCTGAGTGGTTGGATGCTGCCGAAGGGGACTGGTTACCGTCGTGTGCAACGTCGGGGTGCATTGGTGGAGTCGGGGGTAGGGTCATCCGTGAGCTGTTCGGGGCTGAGACTGGAGTGTATTGTGGTTGCGGCTGCTGTTCTTGCCTCAGCTGAGGCGATGCTGACTTTCGTTGCTGTGATTGAGGGCTCTGGGAAGCTGGGGAGCAAGTTAGCGACTTGGCCAGGGGAGATTAGATGAAAGGGTAAGAGTCTTACCTGAATCAGAGGATGCCGTCTTTTCGTTACCAGCAAACTCGAGGAGACTCGAGATGGAGGGAAGCGAAGGCTTCTTCTCCTCGGCCGGGGGTGAAGGGGGGGACTGAGGCCGTTGCTGCTTTTGTGGTTCCTGGTGTTGGTGTTGTTGTTGTTGCTGATGTTGAACTTGCTGTCGGTATTGCTGCTCGACTTGCTGTGTGTGGGCTGGTGGTTGTACCGGGTATGAGGAGGCCGCAACACCCGACATGGTGTATCCACGAGGCTGGGGTTGTTGGTAGTATGCCGGGTGCTGTGGGTGCTGAAAGGCCTCGCGGTCCCGAACGCTGCCGTGTACCATGCTGGCGAGATGCATTGCCATGGAGGAGGGTGTGGTGGAGGTGGAGGAGCGGAGGGTCACGGGTCACTGCAGTGGATGGGTGATGGGTAGAGAGTTGTAATAAGAAGTTATGCAAAAGTGGGTGAAGGGGGGGTGTGAGTGTGGTGGGCGGCGAACGAGTGATGACGAGATGGATGGTAGTCTGAGCGACGGGTACGGGCAGATGTATAGCAGTGCCAGGAATTCGGGCCTGCAGCGTTCAAGTACAATGTCTGGCGGATTGGCGAGATTCAGCACAAAGCCCGTTCGCACCGTAGCGTCGTCGGTGGACCTGTCGTTCCCTGTCCAAATTGCGTTTGAGCGGGCGATGAGGCGGCGGACCGTTGGCAAAAAGCCCACCTCCAACTGCACTTAGCCCGACGCTCAGTCCCTTGCAACGGCAATGCAGATGACAGACGAAGGCGGTTTAGAGTGAGGATGTGCACGACCCGTAGTAATGCCTTGGCCGAGCGATGCGCCCACACATGCCAGGCCGCCCAATCGACGCTGCGCCGGCGCAGGAGCGCTTTTCGGACACCTATTGCAGGGGCCCCGGTCGAGATCCAAGGACAGGCCGCGATGCACTGCAGATCGACCGTTCCAGGAGAAACCCGAGGAGAATCCTCGTGGGCTCGTCGGAAGCAAGCAAGCTCGCTGCTGCTGCCACCGCTGTGGCTGCTGGGATCGAGCAGAGGTCCCCCGGCACTGCCCTCGGAGCGGAACAACCCTCGCCGAGTCTCTTCGTCTCACACACACGCCGCTGCCGCCGCCGGATGACGATTCAAGTCGCCGGCGCTGCAGCCGTGCGTCGCCGACGGCTGATTGATATCTATGGATGTCGTACAATTAAGTCGACGCTGCTGGCTGGCTGGCTATCCTGCCCGGCCGCCCAAGGGGGGGGGGGGTGTATGGGTCGTGTGTGTGGTGGTAGTGGTGCTCTGGGAGCGAGAAAGCCTTAGGGTCACGGGGCTACCTTTCTCTCTCTCTCTCTCTCTCTCTATGCACGGGTCGTCAGGCTGTCAGATGCTGATTCCAGACCGGCTTCCGACTAGTTTGTTCTTTCGCTGGCGGGCGTTGTTGTGCCTCGTCGCTTCGAGGGTGTGGGTGTGGGTGTGCAGCCTCAGGGCGTCGAGACAACACCACACGGGCTGACGAAGGATCGGGCAGGGGGTGGGCAGACGGGAGGAGGGGGAAGGGGGGGAGGGGGGCGAAGCGTGGGAACGGAACGGCAGAGATTGAAAGAATCAAACACTTGAGACAAGCCAGACACGGTACTGCACCTTGAACACGCTTTAAACGAGCACACGGGCAGGCGCCCTCGAATGTCGCCTACATCCAAAGGGCTGGACAGTTGGACCCGTCGCAAGCCATGTGTGATGGCTTGCCATCGTCCCGCCAGAGGGATGGCACATTGAGGGAGCGCAAGCGCAAGCGGAAGCGAGTCAAGGCGTGCACTGGGGGTGCCAAAGCAGTCTAATGCTAACCACCATGGCGGTGACTTGCCCGCATCAGGGCCGCCGTCGAGTTTGGGGGCATGCGACTGATTGGCCTGCATTTTGCAGAATAGCGAGGGCGGCAGTGGGGAGTCGAGCCTGGCGAAGCAATAGAGAATGCAGAAGCGCATGATTTGCTGGCAATATTGGAGGAGGAGCAGCAGCAGCAAGGCGGGCGGCAGCGGCAGTGGTGGTGGTGCAGCAGCGCACATAAGTACATACTGACATACATACTACATACATACATACTACTGCGTACATGCTATGTGCATCCATCCATACATAGATCTGTACAGCATGTACATATACGTATCTATGTATGTACTTACGTACGTACATATCTATACTTCTGAGTGGCCTACAAACTCAGAAGACGTCGGCGAGGCTGACTCGCCCCTCGACAAAGGTCTCCCCGGAGAGGCGCCAGAAAGAAGGGGAGGGAGAGAGAGTTGTCGAGGACAGTGCTCACCGCATGTTGGCGTTTGCTGCTCTACTGCTGCTGCTAGCAAGTAAGTAAGTAAGCGGTGGAATGGGCCCCCTCCCCCCCTTCGCATATCCCATGCCCATGCCACCATGCCCTTCCCCCCTCCCCCCTCCCCCCATACGGCTGCTGGTTTCAGCATCAGCATCAGCACAAGCACAAGCACAAGCACAAGCACAAGCACAGCATTTGGATCAGGGCAAGCGCGGGAGGCCACGGCGGCGCGACGGCTGATGCCTTTTTCCAGCGACCGTCTCCGACCCCAGCAGCGACGACGTCGTTGGGGCGCCGCCAGGGCGGGATGGCGGCGTTGAGCCACGGCTTGGCCTCGTCCGACTGTGCATGTGTGTGTGGAGGATCTTTGAGAAAGAGGCGGGTCGATCAGCAACAAGCGCATGCAGCTAATGCCGGGGGGCCACGTTGGCTGTCACCGTCGCTGTCGCTCGACAACTGCTGTACGTGTAGCCGATGACATGCCGCCACCAATCCACACGCCGCAAACCCCCCATCTCCCATCTCCCATGTCCCGGCCTTCCCTGGCGCTGGCCCGCCTTCGAGAAGCTGCGCGCTGCTGCAATGGCACACCGCACGTATCTGTCCCATCCATACGTACTACTGTGTAGTGCAGTCCACTGCAGTCCAGTTGCCAGTCTGATGACACAGCAGACACATGCCGCTAGCCAGGCCGAAAGACGCCTCTGCTCATCGCCGCTCGCTCACGCCCACGGCATTGGCACTGCCCTCACCCATACCCTCGCTCTCGCCTTCATTCTCGTCCGCCCCCAATATATGTCCACTCGATACCGCCATCGCCTGTCTCGCCCTCCGCCTTGCCGTTTGGCGCTGGACCGCATCAGACGCTGAACTGTAACTTGACTAACCACACACACACACACACACACACACACACACACACACACACACACACACACACACCCTCCACACCACTCTACTTGACTCTACTCCTGCATCTGTCTGCATGTACATACGTCCATATACGTGTAGCATGTAGCACGCCCGTCCGTCATGGCTATGCGACAAGACACGGGCGGCGGACGGCAAACCTGCGAACCTAGAATCACGTGCACGGACACGCCATCCAGGGTTTTCCGTTGATGGAAAATTTCCCAGCTCGGGCCACGCTCCACCCACGCCCGCCGCGCGACTCGCGCGTATCATACCGTCTCTTTGGGTTTCGCGCGCGATGCAATGCACCGCACACGTTGCTCCCATTCCCATTCCCATTCCACCCCGCCCTCATCCAGCTAGCACGTACGCATACGCAACGCACGCTGCCCTTCTCTACCGGCTTGACGCCATGCCCACCCGCCTCCCTCTAGGCCACCGCTCTTTGCTTCGCACTTGGTTGCTCGCCTGCCCACCGCGGAATGCGTGCATGATCTCCCGGAACCAGCCCAGCCCAGACATACACACTACTGTAAGTACTACTGTACACATCTCTGTAGCTGCTGTCTCTGATCTCAGGGCGCGTGGGATTGGCAGGGGTATCGATACCTGGGCCGCATCGTGACCCATCATCAGCGGGAACACGCTTGCATCCATCCATCACTCTGCCTCCCTGGTGCCATCCGAGCGATCCTCTCGGCGTTTCATTGTCACGAACCGACATGCCAACACCCTCCTCACTGCCCTCCCTGTCCGCCGCACCTTCTGCGCCTCGGGCCCCTCTGATACTGGCTTGCTGCAGCCTTGTTGCCTGTCTCTCCCCCAAGCACCACTTTCATCTCTATCATCACCATCTCATACGCGATGCCGCCTAGCATCACTACAATCGAGCTGTTGTGACGCCTCCCGCTTGGGCCACGACGCTTCCCAGGATATCCCGGCTAAAGTATCTAGGCGAAGCCAGCCCGGACATGGCAAGGCTGCTGCCTTAATTGCATCTCTCTTATTGGCCTCTGCTCCTGAAATAATCAGTCGATCTACCGGCCTTCTTCCGAATCGTATGAGGCACAATGTACCTGGGTACATGGTCCGCCATGACGCCGCCTGGGGGTTTCGCCAAGCCCAACGCCATCGATAATCCTAGGAGCAACCGCATTGGCCCGCCAAAACCTCGCATTAACGGCCATTTTCGATTGGCCTGAAAACAACGCCCGTTACACATTGTATGCCCGTCGTTGCTCTCTCCCCAGACATGCAACGTCCATTTTGTTTACAGTGCACCGCCCCAGACCACCTCCTCGATACCAACACAAACGCAAAGCTCCTATGCCTGACTTTCCCCAAAGTACCGTGTAAAATCCCTCAATCTGGCACTGCCGGACGAACTGATATCTCCACTGCTCGACTAGTTCAAGGGTTCTCCTGGTACATTTGAAGAAAAAACATACCAGCCTGCTTACTCGTGCAAATTGGCCAAGGAAATGAGCAGAATTCAAGTGAAGCGTAACCCGACTATTTGGGAATACATACTACTGACATACGTCTTGAGCAAACCAATCCCGGTATACAAGAAGCCTCTGCAAGGAACACACAGTCTGCTCTAACATTGATTGTTACTGGACGAGGCTGTTGGGTCTTATTCGCATCCTGTGCATACAATACGCCACGCCAAATGCGTCTGTATCGTCCGTGGTTTACACTCACATTCTTACACGTTGTTCCCTTCTTGCCCAACCGAAATTGTCTTTTAATATCCACACTCCCGGCATCCGGCTTTGCAGCTCCTTCGGCCATTATGCCATCTCGACGACTCGTTATTAATGGGGTACTCCTATATTCTCGTGTCATAGGCCGCCCACCTGTTCCTTGTTAAAACAACATCGTCCGCAGCCCTTCTTCTTCTTCTTGAAGCCTCACACATGGCTCATGACGAGGGCATCCCAGGCTCATTTCTGCCTTGCCTTGCCGTGCCATCCGCATGCAAGCCACCGTTGCTAAGCGGCTCCGAAGATCAAACACGTTCTGTCCACATGAGACTTCCCAATAGTCAGCCTTCGCTCCTCTACCAAGTCACAGGGATGCGGATGATAGGGTAACAAATGAGACCTAGCGGCCCGAATGGGGCAGCAGAGCTCCCAAACAGGTCAACGGCAACGACAAACGGTCCAGTACCGTGTCGCGCACCCTGTCCCGTCCTCTTCTTGTTGAGTATGTCTTCCGGTTCCATTACGCCACGACAAGGGGCCACGTAGATCAGTCCAAAGTCCTTTCCCACCAACACGGCGAGATGTGCTCGGCTGACCGTGAGATTCCCCAGGATGTGACACAGCCAAGTCTCAGATCAGCCGGATCAAAGGGAATGTCCACCAATACTGACCACGCCGGATGAGACGGACGGACTGTAAACCCCCCGATTTTCTTGTCAGCTCTTGTGCATTGTGCATCGCCGCCGATGAAGATCCATTTACAGGGTATTCGGTACGCCTTCCATAAACGAGTGTTACCGGTATCTGCCGGAAGGATTCACTCCCCATTACCAGAGTGGACATGTTCGTCGACAGACTCGGTAGACGGTGCGACGTGCGCCAGCAAGCCTATCGAACCCTCCTGTTTCACCAACACACAAACCTTGAAAGTCCACTTCTGCAAGACATAAAGCCGCTAACTTGACAGAGACTTTGACCGTCGCAAAAAGCACAGTCACGTCCATATACGGTATGTAGAGATTGCGATCTGTGGTCTGGCCGACGTGTCTGTATCCCTCCTCCCCTCGTCTTGGTCTAGCTGGGTATGATATGCCGCCGATACCACAGTGGATTAAAAAAAATGTGGAAATAAACTAAGCGAGCATCATCACTGGATACGCTGATGCTCCATTTCTGGGCCCTGTCGACACATCTCGGCCTGACCCACCAAACGTCCGCGTCGGCTTGCCTCAGTCCCCTGTCACTGCAGAAATCGTTAGCGTATCTTCGACCATGTGGCTGATGTCCGACAAATCGATTCGTCAAGACGGTGTGACAGGACGTTAGCATCGTTCTCGCGCGCACGATGGAGACGCTACAGGCCACACCATGAAAGCAACCGCTACTGTTCTGGGCTTAACGGCTCCGCATATTGCTTTTGATTTACCCCCAGGCTTGGATCTCGAACAGCCCGCTATCTCCGTCGGTGTTCCCCCCTGTTTCCTTATTCGAGCTGGCAGTGAGACTGGCACCAGATCCGTATCGCTATGCGCCCCAAGGAGTGCTTCTGCTTCGCAGCCACAAAAGGCTTGCTTCTTGAAAAGTGGTAATACACCTGCACATGACTTACATTCTGCCAGTTCATCTCTCTGGTTAGAGTGGGACGCGGAGAATTGGTAATCCAAGGAATTCTCTTGCAAAATTCCATGTCAATCAACACTCAAAATGATCCGCACTTATAGCGCAAGGGGTGGGAGCGGTCAAGGAGACTTTGGTTCTTTTTTTTCACAGTGGATTCATTCCAGATGTGCATAATGAACGCAGGACCAAGCTCAGATTGTTTCCCGCTGTCTATGCGCCTACACCGTGAGCCAAATCGTACCCTGACGCTTTGGCCCCATCATATTAGTGACCGTTGCTGTTGCTTTTTTTCATGGCAACGTCTATCCGCAGGTGAATATTGATGGCTACAGATTAAGCATGACATCGACGATGTGGAGGTGTCGAAGGATTGCATCGCAATATTAGCCCGATGGCCCACGACACGTCAATCATTCGCACCCATGCGCTTCCTCTGAATTTCGGCATCTGATCCCTACGCACCTAGCACTCATCAATCCCGGAGCTACGGGCAGATCCCCATCCCTTCTGCACAGCAAGGGAAATGATCACGGACGAACGTACCCGTCCAGGACTGTCGGGTCCAGTCAGTCCATGTCGGCACAAGCGCCTATTTCGCATTCAGCGAAGCCTGCCGCCACATTGCAAGTTGCAAGTGCCGTCACATGTGATGACCGAACCCGAGCTGGGGGGTTTCAATGCTGGGGCTCGCGACAGGTTCAGGAGTGATATCAAAAGAAAGTCTCTGTGGTGAGTGCCGAGCGTTTTCCTTTGCTCCACTAAGCGGTTGCACGTATGGAGCCCTGGTACAGCATTGTCCGAAGCTACCGTAGCATCTAAACATTGGGTACGGCGCGCTACTCGAGGCCGGAAAGATTGCGCTGCAGGGCACCTTGGTTGAAATGACTGCCGTGAGGCAAATGGCGGGGCACAAGATCACTGTCGCCACTGTCGTTCGGCCCTTCACAACGTGGACGGCCATCAGCAGATCCACACTTATCAACCTGGCTGTCGGGAGATGCCCGCGGCCGCAGTGATGTGTTGACGTGGACATCACTCTATCGAAACCTAATCTCCAACACGACAGTCTGCTTGTGATGGGTATGCAATGCCCGCCAGCTCATGCAGCCCGTGGATCATAAACATGGGTTTCAGGCCATCACACTACCTCTTCTTACTCACACTACCTTCTCTTGGTAAGCCCAATGCAAGTCTAATCAATCGCTGGGTTGGCCTTTTTTCTGTCAGTCCTGCTGGTCTTAGTGCTGCATCACGCATTCTGGACTCCGGAGAACGTCCGAACAGGTTGTAGTATGCCCACTGCCATGCTTGATGCCCCCCCAAACTACCACGACGGTCATATCCCCCCCCCCTGCTATCACTTCGCCGATGATTATCTTGTCATCACCAAAGGATGGAACAGCACCAAATAAGCTAATGCCAGTGTAGTGCACATCATATGGTCCCTTAATCTTTTTTTTAGCACCTGGCTCCAGTTGTTCGTCCCCATCCCCTACTTCCGTCCCATTCCTGCTGACGAGATGCTGACACAAGACGGGGGGGGCGATACCCGAGGGAAGGCCTGGGATCTGCAGTCGCCTGCAGCTCCAAACTTGATATTTTGTCGGCAGAGGGGAAGGTATGACGACATTAACGCTCCACACAACGTCTATCACCAAGGTACTGCCGGAGGCGCCGACTCCGACGTACATCGTCATTACAATCATCATGATCACCAGAGGTCTAGAGTTGTCTGTATGTTGCGATGCACCTGATTCAACGAGGCTGCGGTCAAGACTCAGGTAAATCAGCCCATGTACGGCCGTAACCGTGAGGCTTGTGCGGCCTTGGTTTCTCCGCATGCATAATTCCCATGGACAAAACAGGCCTCCCTTTATTTCTTCGTATGTATCGAACACGGCCCCCCACACCACAGCTCAGCACACAACCCCAGCAACCAATACCATAGCCAAACGTGCCCTGGCTGACTCGATCCACCTTTGTTGCCCACCCACTCCTGTGTCGCCGCTCCTACAATCTTGGAATTGCTATCACGCCGTCCGATGATATTGCCGCCGTCCGTCATCATCAACCTATCCCTTCGTCTCCCCAAGAAAAATCCCTCTTTCTCGAATAAGAAAACCTGGCTGCGGGACCCTATGCCTCGTATCGAACTCGAGCACCGCCAAATGAAACCTTCCCTCCGAATATGTGTATATGCGCCGTTGATCACTTCAAACTTCCTAGGCATAGGCATGGTCCTGCTCTTTTGTTGATCTCCAGTACATTAACTCCTTTTTCTCCATAACTCCCATTCGTCCAACGCAAAACGCGTACTTTCTCTTTGTTTTTGGCACCTTGCAACTTGATCACGCCCCCCTAGCGTGGATACGCTGCAAGTGACGTATATTTGCATACTTTACGTGCCATCTGTCATAGTTGCGTGATTGGGGGGGGGTGGCGTACTTGGGTTGTACTTGCACTTGCTATCTAAGGACAAATAAGCCGCAAAGGCACGTGTTGAGGCGGGTTCGTATCAACACCATGTCTGATGATGTATGTGTTTGAACTCTCTCAGCTGAGAGACTCACGCCTTTACGCACCTGTCGCCTCGGTTGGCCTCGCGTATCGGGCCTTAAATGCTGCGGTACATGCATATGCATATAGCTCTTTTGTTTTCTTGCAATACTAGAAGTAGTACTATTGAAATTTTCATCTGATGTTTTGCTTTTCCAACTGCAATGCGCATGCAATGTCCTCTCATGCCTAGTACTGCAACTAAAGCAGACCTTGTCATACTTGCTACATTTCCCTACACTACGCATGCTTGTGCATATGTAGGCAGAGGAAAGGGGGAAGAGACACGCATAGTCATGTGAACCACGTGCCCTGTCCACCCTATTCATCACGATCTTGCGATCGTTAAGATCGCGGGGGAAGGGGGGGAGCTGGCATGTGTGTGTATGTATGTATGTATGTGTGTGTGTGTGTGTGGGTTTGGCTGGGTCGATCATATAGGGCCGCCTACCTTTCACAAATACCCATAACTATACTATCGGGGGGGGGTGTTTATACTAACCCTTCCCTTACCATACTTACTTAGCTTCCAAACGGTAACGCCTGCGTCACGCCCCACATCCGCCTACTAACAACCCTCTTCCGCTCGCCCTCTCCTTCCTTTTCTTTTTTTTTTAAAAAAAGAACTGCGTCCTTGCATGAACGTTACGGTTGCAAAAGGGAGAAAGAAAAAAAAGGTTGTTGGTGGGTATATGTGTGTGTGCGTGTGTGTAAAGTGATATTATACCCCAGGGGGGGTTCGAATAATAAAACGGAAAGTGTTACACGGGGTCTGGAGTGCTAATACTTCTCTGGCTCGATCCAGGTTAGGGCGAGTAGGATTAGGGTTAGCGCTGTGAGAGTTGCCTAGTAATTCTTAATAGAAAAGAGTTATAGATATAACTAAGGGTTTAATAATGCTAATCTATTTAATAGACTAATATATAACTATCTTATAAAGTAAAAGATACTAGTAAGAAAGTATAATTTAAGTTAACTATAATAAGAGTAATAATAGAATCTATCTATCCTTATATCCTTATTACTTTTAGTTCTACTATCCTATCTATTCTATCTTTTTCTCTCTTAGTAGGATATCTAGAATAGACTACTATTCTAAGGCCTATTACTATTCTAAGCTTAGTAGAATATCTTATCTTAGTAGAATAGTATATTATATAACTCTAAGCTCTATAATATCTATTTTCTTTTAATATAGACGTCTCTAGGCTTATAGCTATCTTATTATTTATTAAAGAGAGAATCCTTTTTATTACTTATAATATTACTTCTCTCTTTAAGGCTATTATTTTAATACTCTAGAATATTATTTTACTATACTATATATTAAATTACTAGCTATATATAAGGTTAGTAGGCCTTAGGCTATTATAACTATTCCTTTCTAACTCTAGTCTTTCTAACTATACTTAAGGTCCTATCTTTCTATATTTATATTTAACGTGGTTCACAAGCGAATGGCTCACCCAAGCGAATGGCTCACGCCCCACCAGCGCGTCGACGTCAACACTATAACGCGTCATGTCTCAACAACGTAATTATCTATCAACTTACTCTGAATCAGATCTTCAGCTTGCTCTTTTTGATGTCCAATCGCA